CAGGTTCTGTACCAGAATTTGAAGCTTGAGAACTGGTTTCAACAAGTTCTGAATTACGGGCAACTCGTTCATCCAAGTTACTTTTATTAGAAGAAGATTCAACATCAGTAGATAGCCCAGATAGGAGTGCTCGAGCAGATTCCATGTTTTTTTCAAACTCGGTTTCTTCCATTGAGAGGGAATTTGCGTCAATGTTTGAGATAAAGGACTCGGCTGAGAGTATGTTTGTGAAAAAATATGCTGCTTCTCCAGTTAATCGGGATTGTCCCCTGTACCGTTGTATATATAATAAATTTGAGTGCAGTTGTGGAGGGTTTGCCTACAAGAGATTGTGCATGAAAAACACATTTATGAGCATGATGTCAGAAATTTCTATAGTACTACGATAACTATATCCTAAAAGGTGAAACAATAAAATTTGTATGGTGTTTACCACCAACTTTTCAGTTTAATGCCAAACAGAGATGATGAGAGTTTGTTGGTGACATTTCTATAAGGAAACAACAAATTTTCAAACGCTATGTAAGAATATATGCTCTAGCATGAAAGAGTTTCTTCATAAGTAATAGATATGGGCAAACCAACTTTAACTATTCATATTATACATCACCTTTATGATAACATAAATAAGGACGGGAAGGAACTCATCAGCCCCTGGAGAATTCTCATTTGAAGCAATAGAGGCATTAAGTAGCAAGTTACTGATGACCTTACAACAGCCAAGGAGACACACAAGCTTGTCTCTTGGAGCTTTGTACATGTTAATCTTCAAGAGTTCCTTCTGAGCAAGCTGCCAATAAAAATGTAAACATGTAGGTGAAACTAGTATTAATGACCAACAAAGATTCATATGGTGGAAAATTCCACGTAATGATTGCAATGCATGACCTAGTTCAACAGAAAGTTTCAGCTAAAAAAAACATGACATGCTGAAAACAAACTTTGAAGTAAAGAAGAGTAAGAGCAAGCCTATGTGGAAGAAACTTTGATCATATCGCCTTAACAAGAATGCCTTAGAAAATTTTGTATTTCATTCTTTCTCCCACAACTTCCCCATGGAAATCAAAAACTTAACTCAAGAGAATTTTCCAGGAACCTAGGGGACTTTCATAACAGAAGTTTTGACCAAGCCCATCATGCATTACAGAACCAAGGGGATTTCATAATCATTGAAAATAAATATACATGACAATTTAACGTTTCTCTTATGTCCTCAACTTATTCCGATAGGTATCAGCTCATCTGAGAATAGGTTCTCCAGCAATTCCATTTACACTTCGGCATTGCCCAAGAATAGGAAAACAACAAGGCTATATAGTTTGAGATACATAGTTTTAATGTATACTTGAATTTCTAAATAGGAAAGATCTATCATGGAAATGTTTCGTAGATGATAAACTATCACTGGATAAAGTGTCAATTAGATTCCTGATTTGAACTTATGAACAATTCTAAAAAATGGTCAAAAAATGTAATGAAACAACTAACTTCAAAGTATGATTTTTTATGCACAAACAAATAATCATGAGGATGTAAATTTCACGAGAGAGGAGATGATTGATGCAAAAATTATATGAAGATCTCTTGACTTTGACCTTTACTCACCAACCATGATGATTCGTTCTGGAAATTTGGTTTGATATCCAGATTTTCTGGCCTAATGAACTGCTGAATCAATGCCATCTTATCAGAAAGTTGTTCGTCAATTTTTACATCATCTGCAAGCGAAGCATATACACGAGAATATAACTTGGTCATGACATACTTCTCCAATCCCTGCATTTCGTAGACGGTCATGCATTAGAAGAGAGAACAAATGCTGTGAATAAATAAATATCACTTAAGCAGCACATACTTGGGGAGTAAAGTGTGTGCATTGTAGGATCCATCCGAGAAGACTATTTATTTGCAGAGTATTCCCAAAGGTATTGGCTTGTTTATAACATAATTTTTTAATTAGTTAACTATGCAAGGATGGGATCATTATGTGTCTTACTCAGATTGCTTCTATATTCAACAATCAAATGGATTGTACGTAAATATATTATTTTAAAACTAAACCCTCCTTGTCCAGATATGTTACCGATTGATTAATAATTCACCTCATCCTCAACGTTGGGGTGAAAAACAAATCATTATTAATTATAAATATTTACTCTTCGATAGTAGTGAACTTACCTCACCAGCACTTTCCAGCTCTTCTTCTGAGCAACCAGACCAAAGTGGATGAGCTCTGAAAGCTCCCTCCATTTTGGCAAAGAATTCTTGTACAGAGGCACCGTCCCTTTCAGGGTCAGGAGCATTATTCGAAAATGATACAATAAAGCTGCCAGTATAAAGAGTTTAGTCAAAACTTTATGAATATGTTAATTACTGTTCAAAATCAACAGTCAATAACATTATCCTCTAATTAAGAAAAAGATACACCTGACAAAAGATTATATCCAGAAGTTAAACAATCAACGTGAGTAATCACCGCAAGACTCTTACAGTATAAGGCTACAAAATGCATATTGATCTGAAACTCGACAGACTAAAGCATACACATAGAGATATGCACATCCGCGCATGTGTGTATATAACAGGTGTAGAAATCTTCTGCAGGAGTGTTTACAAAGTTTAAGATTGAAACTATCCAAATTCTTCGGTATTTGGTAGTCACTTCAGGTATTACAGTATGCCATGCAGGTGATGTATAAAAGGGTATTCAGTTAGAAACCATTTGGCTATATCCAATGCTTTTACCATTATGTCCATCTCTCGAATCTACACTTGTACAAGCGCTGAGTTCAGCTTGCACATAACACCATAACGAAACTCTGTCAGTAGGTACTAACTATATGTTATTTTCATTTAAAGACCAATAAATGCTACTCCCTCGGAGATTCCATTTATGAGAGTGCTTTCTCCTTCTAGAAGAAAATGAATCGGTTGGTTTTGGCTTTCATGGGAAGGCATTTGAATCTACAAAACGGAGGGCAACTATAACCAAAAGCCCAAATGAGGACGCTCATCTCTAGCGATAACTCAATCAAGTTAAGTAACTGTCACTTATCTCATATGTATCAATAACATTATCAACCTAAAAATCACAGTAGGCACTGAGTTCAGCTTGCACAACTATGCTAATTCGTAGGTCCATCTTTACTTCTTCCAATGATGACCACGACAATTTTCTCCAACAATTCATCAATTTGAATTGTATTTAAACAAACAAACAGCCGATTAAGATAGCAAGAAATTCAAGGTCGAGAAGAAAGAGCGAGAAAAGGAACAAGGAGCAAGCATTGTAATTAAAGTGTAAAGAGATCAGATTAAATTTGAAGGAAAGATCACGTGAACACTAATTGAAGTCAACAAATATCCTATAGTTTGCACATATCGTTCGAATGGAAGACGAATTTACCTTTTAATGGATTTGACGAAATCTGAGGCTGATGGTTGACGCATACGCTCAAGAAAATCATGCAGACCTAAAAAGACGTCAGCGTTCTCCATTCCCCACCGGACGTCTAAAATTCCTGTGCAAACTCCCGATCCTTCACTAGTCGTCGAAGATCTTTGAGCTCGAAAATCTCTGAGAGCACAAAATTCTTAGCAAAAAGACGACAGAGGCACCTCCTTGCCATGATCATAATTAAATTCCGATTAATTAACGTCCTCGAAATTATGATTAACTGGGCTGGGCTGGGCTGACACAATCCACTCCCGGCCCAAAATAAGAAAATGGACCCAAGTTTGGAGCCCAGCCCAGCCCAATAGTGAAAACATCTTGGACCTAGCGATGTATGGTTTCATGCTTTTATGAAATTGTAGGAAATAATTGCAATGAACCAATAGAAAATAAATAAATAAATAAAATAGAGACAGTATTTTTTTTTTTTCAATATTTGAAAATTATTCAAATATATTTTTTTAAAAATAGTTATTTACCTTTTAAGACAAGATAGAAACAACTATCTCGGAAATTGATTTAAAACCCATTATTGAAGAAAAATACATTAAATAAGATATTAATGACTTTTAAAATCTTTTTAAACACTAAAGTCATTTTAATTATCATATATTCCATTCTTATATGAATTTCAATATTTATTTTATTTTAATTATTATTTTTTAGTCTCTTAATTTTACATAAATATGTTTTTTTTTATCATTTTTACTAGATTTTATTATATATATATATATATATAAAACAGAAAATGCGGCATTAAATTATTATTAAACCTACACGGAATATTAATTGAAGCATGGAATGGAAAATGGGTTATTTTGCTATATTTGTACTTAAAGAATATGTTTTATTCGAAAAAGTAAACAATTATTATGATATTTTAGGAAAATTCGATGCTGTTTTGCCTACTGTGTGAGATGACATGTACTCGACATCCACGTGGACCAATCAGATCCATTAAAAGTGACCGCTGGCGTTGCACACCGGAAAGTGGATATAAGCATCCAAAACTTCTCTCTCCATACTCTTGGATGGATGACCAAATCAAAAATAAGTGGGCCCCAAAAATAATTAATTAAAAAACGCTTTTTTAGCCACTTGCAACATTTTAATGCTTTTTTTAATATTATTATTATTATTTTTCAACATTTTCTTTTTTAAAATATAGGTAAAAATAATTACAAAAATTAAATAATTATGGAACGAATCTAACATATATAATATTTTCTAATAAAAAAGAATTTTAAAGACATAATATATATAGATTTTTTTTAAATAATAATAATAATAATTCTAAACTCTAAAGATGCTTTCAATTGGTTAAATACATAATATATATATATATATATAATTAAAAAAAGTCTTCGAACTTTTGTTTTCTTTTTTTTTAGAAAATGGGAAAGAAAGAAAATAATGAAGGAGCTGACGTGTATTTCCAAATATTTAGAACTGGTCGTCACTGTCAGCCACATCGTACGGTCCAGATTCACTCCTCACTCGCTGGTTCTCTTTTTATCCACTTCTCCTCCTCCTCCGCTTCTCAGTTCCCGTTCTCTCTCTCTCTCTCTCTCTCTCTCTCTCTCTCTTAACCCACTTTCTCTCTCTAACGTCGTCGGAGAACAACTATGCCGCCGCCAAAGAGGCTCCCAATCAAGAGATCCTCCAGCGAGAAGGAGATCCTCTTCGACGTCGCAGAACCTCCACCAATCGAAAGCCCTAACACCTCCTACGATCACCGCCTTCTCTCCATGCTCTCGCCGAGAAACAATCGGAGACATTCCGATGAGTTTCCTTGGTCGTCTCAGCATCTCCGTGCTTGCTGCCTCTGCCGCCGCCGCCTCGTTTCCGGCCGTGACATATACATGTACAAGTAAGTAAAAAGTATCGATTAAATACCTTTTCTAGGGCACAGTAAAATTTTAACAAGAAATTGATCGAAATTTCTCCTTGAATCTTGTAAATCGGTGTAAGTGATGGAATTGTTGAGTGAAATTGATGCGATTTTCGGTGCGGCCGTGTGGAAACAGGGGCGAGAGCGCTTTTTGTAGTGCAGAGTGCCGGCAGCAGCAGATGAATCAGGACGAGGCGAAGGAAAAGTATTCGAAGAAAGGACCGTCAGGCCCGACCGCCGTAACAAAAGTCTCTGCAATTAATGGCGAGACTGTCGCCGCCGTGTAGCCGCCATAGATTACTTCCAGATTTAAAGCAGCCGCCACCGCTCCAGCCATCTATCAACGCATATAAAAAAAAAATATATATATATATATAAAGATGTTTCTGCGTACTTAAATGGGGTAACAAATTTTGGAGCTGCTGTATGTGAATGTGAATATTACCCTCTAATTTAAATTAATGTTTTTCTGTTTAATATTCCTAATTTTATTTATTTTTATTATTATTATTATTTATTAAATAAAGGACACCATAATCAATTTTCGCAATAATTGAAGTGATGGTCCAAAAACAAATAAGTTAAATCGATTAAACCGACCAAAAATCAAATCAATCGATTTTTTTTTTAATTTTTAGAAATAATTGTGTAATTGAATTGATCAAGATAATTGGATGGGACAAAATCGTCTTTTTCTTCTTTGTTTGGGGACAAAATAGACTTTTTGGGTCGAGGACTTTAATTCATACGTGGAAATATTGTAATAATCTATTATTGGAAATTAAATATGGTATTATTTGAGAATTAAATTAATTAAAATGATTAATTATTTATCGATAATAAGCTCATGTTATTTTAAATGGTGGAGCAAAATTAATTAAAAAGGTCAACATGATTTGATATATGAAATGTTTTTTTCAAATTAATGTATAGTTGTTGAAACTTAGAAATTGATGTTTAAAAAAATTAAAATTCGAAGAAATAATATTAAAAATATGAAAATTTCAATTTTAGTGGTTCCACTTGATCAAAGACTTTAATGTTAGTTAAGTGTACCAAAAAAAAAAAAAACTAAATTATAAAATATGAGAATATTTTTATTATTTTAAATTCTGTAATATTACTTTTATATATATATATATATATATATATATATATATATATATAAATCTTCAAAATTAGAAGCATATGATAAAATATAGTTGCTACACGTCGGTTAAGGAGGGGAATGAAGCATGATGGTGTGAAAACCTCTCCCTAACAGACGTGTTTTACAACTATGAGACAAACAGTTATATGTAATAGGTTAAAGCAAACATTATCTACTGATGGTTATTTCAAACGGTTATAATAATTATCTTGAACTAAATTCAGAAAATGGTAAATATCTATAGTAAATATTTTAGTAATTTTTTAAACAAATGAGAATAATTTAATATTATAATTAAGTAATAAATATTAAACAATAAAATGGTCATATTTAATTGATTTAGCAGCCAATCAAGACTTAGTTGATGTTGATGATCATGAATGAATGACAATTAATTATGCTCACTCATCTCTATTGTCCATTTTTTAAAATAAAAAATAAAAATAAAAGTTCATGATTTCATAATTATTTGTGAACCCCAATAATTTATTTATATAAATTTTGATTTTAATTAATACAAAAATTTAATTGGATTCGATCCAATTTAGTTTTATAAGACCCAATTAAATCTAAATAAGTTCATAGTTCAATCCATGAGTTGGGTTGATTAAGTTTATAGTTGAGATGCGACGGTGCATTGAGAGACTTTGGCCTCGAGTAGGGGGAAGGTCGAGCCGAATGACTTGGCCTAGTGTAGAGTCAAGTTGGTTATGTCGCAGACGATTGAACATGCACACGTAGGCAGCGTATGTGATCGAACAAGCTTGGATTCCGCACAAGCGTGGTTCGATTATTGAACACCCTTTTTTTTTTTGTTTAATACATGTCATTATAAATATGAAATTGCTCACGTGAATCGTTTAACTTATACGGAATCTGTATTTTTTTTTTCATAGACATAATGATGTAATTATAGAGATTATAATTGAAATATTGATTAATATAAGCATAGATAGTTTGATCTAAAGCTAGAGATTCTAAACACTCTATCGGCGTATTTTTATAAGAGATTCAAACATTGAACTTTGAACTAATAAGAATGGTAATATTAATGGTAGGTCGAGAGATACGAACTTTCCGTGTTTAACAACATCGATATGGTTGCATAGTCACCTAGGAAGTGGCAAGTTTTTAAAAATATATGTAAAGTTATACAAAAGGGGGGGACAAGGGGACAAGTACATGTGTGTACCATGTTGGAAATCTCCATAAAAATGTTACATTAAAAAGTCACAAAATCAATGTCTAGAACTTAGTAAACAACACATGTAATTCTTTACCATTAATCATCGACCTTCCTAAAGTGAGGGAAGATCATTTCGATCGAAAATTGCTATAACGACCCGTGCCTAAGATTTAAAATTTGGATTTAGCACCTGATGACCCCGATATTCACATGCAACATAGTTACGTTACCTATTCTTCATTTTTTATTGGATAAGGGACCAAAACATTCTTTGTAAGGGTGTGAAAACCTTTACCTAGTAAACACGTTTTAAAAATTTCAAAGAGAAGTCCGGAAAAGAAAACCCAAAAAGAACAATATCTACTAGCGGTGGGCTTGGATCTTATATAAGACTATTCCCATAGACCAACACGAGTCTTTCTAATTTGTTTTGTCCTTACTCAAATGCATCTCATAAAAATTCATAGAAGATCGCATAATATAGAATTATTCCAAGTAAAACACGTTTAATCATGAAGTTCTTATGATTATCTACCAAAAAGAAAAGTGGCACGTTATTGGTACTTTCATTTTCTTTAAGTATTTCTTAGTTATCCTATTCTCGTAATCGCTCTAATTCAAATCTAGTCTTCATTCATTCACATACCTCTCTGTTACTCAGATGTCACACTCGTATTTTTAAAACATATAATATAAAATAAATAAAATTTAGATTTAAGCGTGAAAAATTAGGGTTAGATGGAAATTAATAAGAATTTATTAAAAAAATCAATTTTTTTTAGAAATTTTAATTTATAATCAGTTTTAAAAAAGGTACTTTATTAGCCAATTTGGATGTTTTTTTTTTAAGTAATAATATAATAATAAATAACTTTTTATTAAAAAAAACAATGTTTTTAGGTAAAAACTACTCCATTTTTATTAATCTTTATGATAAATGTGTGGCTATGGTTTTCTAATATTTAGAGCCAATTTAGTTATAAAATAGAAGCTGGTTGCCCAAGTTGGCCACTTTAATTTATAGAAACAAAAATTAAAAAATATATATTTAAAGCATATTATAGTCCCGGTCCTTTTATGTGGATGTCATTTTCGCAAATTCGGCACTCATTTTTTTAAGCAGTACGTATGACGGTTGGAAAGAAAGATGACATCACCTTATCGTAGAATCTTCACTGAGTAGAAGGAAATAGCCTGACTAATAACGGTGCTTGTTGAGTAAGGCCAGTTTTCGAGTCCCAAACCCCTTATTTGTACAAGTTGAGTCCATTTCTCACTACTTTTATTCCGTGAAATTCAACACCATTATTCTTACTTCAGAACTCAAACCCAAGTTTGAGACATGACTTTATGACTTCAATGGTGACACTCGAGTAAATGAGAGGTATATGAATGAATCGATATCACGTCCAAATGAGAGTGATTCTGAAAATATGATGACTAAGAAATATTTAAAAGAATTAAAAGTTACTATCTACGTCAAATAATGATGTACTTTCCTTTTCATTGGCTCAATTATATAAACTTTATAATTTATCGTGTTTTGCTTATCGAAAATTAAAAATAATTTTTCGAAGAACTTTATAGATGAAAATTATAAATAAATAAAATTTTGAACATATTGATGTAAATATATGAGGCCCACCAAGTTGGGATGTAAGCCCATTGAAATAAACATGATAAAATAAATAATAATTTATTATTCAATTTATTTCTCTTCCGTTGCCAGAAATACATCGAATAATAATGATTTCACATTTCTCTTCATATATATTAAATATTAATTTCAAATAAATTTTTAATAGATAATTTCTATAAAAAATTTATAATAATATTTTAGTATAATATAATGTTTAATGACGATCGAAGTTGGTTTCCAGCCCCGAGTTAAATGTACATCCCTACCCGTTAATAAAATACAATAATTATGAATATCTATTTATTAAATATATATAATAATGAAAAATAAAAACATAGAATTTGAATTATAGAAGGGAAAATGGTCAAGATGTTGACCCGCTGTAGCTGCAGTAATATAGGATCCATCTCCCCGAAAACCACTCATTCAACATTGGGAAATTTATGTTTCACAGAACACCACAAAAAAACAAAAGAAATTAAAAAATTAAATGTGTTCTTAATAGATTCCGAAAAAACTGCCATTTCAATCCCAATTTCTTGCATTAAATAGCAACCAGCTTGTTTTCGACAATAACTCAACGATCTTAATTGGATCGCATTCAAGCAATGGCAATGGCGATGATTCAGAGTTTGGCTCTGTTCTTGAGCTGCATTGCAGCAATATGGATTTGCAATGAAAATATAATAGCGAGTGCTGCCTTGCCGTTGTCGCCTCTTCCAAGTGCGGTGGATTGCCCAGCAGTGGTGTATGCGATACTGCCGTGCGTGAATTACATCACGATCGGGAGCACGATGATGATGCCCTCGAAAGTTTGCTGCAAGAATGTGGAAAGTGTGTTGAAATGGAACGCTAAATGTATGTGCGTTGCGTTGAAGCAGAGTGAGAGCTTGGGGATTCAATTGAATGTTACTAAAGCGATTGATCTTCCTGCGACTTGTGGAATTTCTACTCCGCTTTCTAATTGCGGCAGTGCGTTTGATTTTATTCTTGTTTGAAATTTGTTTGTCTGCTTCGAATCGAGGTTTTATTTTTCTTTTCTTTGCAGTTCGTCTTCCCCCTGGTATGGCCCCTGCTACAGTTTCATATAGTAAAGCGCCAGCGCCTGCGCCTGCGCCAACGACATTTCCAGGTGGTAAAGCGCCATCACGAGCTCCTGTTGCTGCAGCGCCAAGGACAGTTCCAGGTAGTAAATCGCAAGCTCCCGTTGCCGCAGCGCCAACGACAATTACAGGTAGTAAAGCGCCTTCTCGAGCTCCTGGTGCTGCAGCGCCAAGGAAAGTTCCAGGTAGTAAAGCGCCTTCGCGAGCTCCTAGTGTTGCAGCGCCAAGGACAGTTCCCGGTAGTAAAGCGCCTTCGCGACCTCCTGTTGCTGCAGCGCCAAGGACAGTTCCAGGTAGTAAAGCGCCATCGCGAGCTCCGGTTGCTGCGGCGCCAACGACAATTCGAGGTAGTAAAGCGCCATCGCAAGCTCCGGTTGCTGCGGCGCCAACGACAATTCGAGGTAGTAAAGCGCCATCGCAAGCTCCCGGTGCCGCAGCGCCAACAACAACTCCAGGTAGTAAAACGCCATCGCGAGCTCCTGTTGCTGCAGCATCAACAACAACTCCAGGTAGTAAAGCCCCATCGCGAGCTCCCCGTGCTGCAGCACCAATGACAACTCCAGGTAGTAAAGCCCCATTGCGAGCTCCCCATGCTGCAGCACCAACGACAATTCCAGGTAGTAGAGCCTCATCGCGAGCTCCGGTTGCCGCAGCGCCAACGACAATTTTAGGTAGTAAGTCGCCTTCACGAGCTCCCGTTGCTGCAGCGCCAACGACAACTCCAGGTAGTAAAGTGCCATCGCGAGCTCCAGTTGCAGCAGGGCCAACAACAAATCTAGGTACTAAAGCCTCATCACGAGCTCCGATTGCCGCAGTGCCAACGACAACTCCAGGTAGTAAAGCCCCATCACAAGCTCCCGGTGCTGCAGCGCCAACGACAACTCCAAGTAGTAAAGCGCCATCGCAAGCTCCCCGTGCCACGGCACCAACTACATTTTCGGGTAGTACAGCGCCATCGCGAGCTCCCGGTGCAGCAGCACTAATGCCATTTCCAGGTAGTAAAGCGCCATCGCAAGCTCCCCGTGCTGCAGCACCAACTACATTTTCAGGTAGTATAGCGCCATCAAGAGCACCAACAACTCCAGATAGTAAACCGCCATCACGAGCTCCCGGTGCAGCAACGCTAATGCCATTTCCAGGTAGTAAAGCGCCATCACAAGCTCCCCATGCTGCAGCACCAACTACATTTTCAGGTAGAACAGCGCCAACGACAACTCCAGATAGTAAACCACCATCGCGAGCCCCCGGTGCTGAAGCACCAATGCCATTTGCAGGTAGTAAAGCGCCATCGCAAGCTCCCCGAACTGCAGCACCAACTACATTTTCAGGTAGTACAGCACCATCGCGAGCTCCCGGTGCTGTAGTGCCAACGACAACTCCAGGTAGTAAAGCGCCATCGCGAGCCCCCGGTGCTGCAGCACCAACGACATTTGCAGGTAGTAAAGCGCCATCGCAAGCTCCCCGAGTCGCAGCACCAACTACATTTTCAGGTAGTACAACGCCATCGGGAGCTCCCGGTGCTGTAGCGCCAACAACAACTCCAGATAGTAAAGCGCCATCGCGAGCTCCCGGTGCAGCAGCGCTAATGCCATTTCCAGGTAGTAAAGCGCCATCGCAAGCTCCCCGTGCCGCAACACCAACTACATTTTCAGGTAGTACAGCGCCATCACGAGCTCCCGGTGCTGTAGCGCCAACAACAACTCCAGTTAGTAAAGCGCCATCACGAGCCCCCGTTGCTGAAGCGCCAATGCCATTTGCAGGTAGTAAAGCGCCATTGCAAGCTCCCCGAGCCGCAGCACCAACTACATTTTCAGGTAGTACAACGCCATCGGGAGCTCCCGGTGCTGTAGCGCCAACGACAACTCCAGATAGTAAAGCGCCATCACGAGCTCCCGGTGCAGCAGCGCTAATGCCATTTCCAGGTAGTAAAGCGCCATCGCAAGCTCCCCGTGCCGCAACACCAACTACATTTTCAGGTAGTACAGCGCCATCACGAGCTCCCGGTGCTGTAGCGCCAACAACAACTCCAGTTAGTAAAGCGCCATCACGAGCCCCCGTTGCTGAAGCGCCAATGCCATTTGCAGGTAGTAAAGCGCCATTGCAAGCTCCCCGAGCCGCAGCACCAACTACATTTTCAGGTAGTACAACGCCATCGGGAGCTCCCGGTGCTGTAGCGCCAACGACAACTCCCAACTACATTTTCAGGTAGTACAACGCCATCGGGAGCTCCCGGTGCTGTAGCGCCAACGACAACTCTAGATAGTAAAGCGCCATCACGAGCTCCCGGTGCAGCAGCGCTAATGCCATTTCCAGGTAGTAAAGCGCCATTGCAAGCTCCCCGAACTGCAGCACCAACTACATTTTCAGGTAGTACAGCACCATCGCGAGCTCCCGGTGCTGTAGCGCCAACGACAACTCCAGGCAGTAAAGCGCCATCGCGAGCCCCCGGTGCTGCAGCACCAACGACATTTGCAGGTAGTAAAGCGCCATCGCAAGCTCCCCGAGTCGCAGCACCAACTACATTTTCAGGTAGTACAACGCCATCGGGAGCTCCCGGTGCTGTAGCGCCAACGACAACTCCAGATAGTAAAGCGCCATCACGAGCTCCCGGTGCAGCAGCGCTAATGCCATTCCCAGGTAGTAAAGCGCCATCGCAAGCTCCCCGTGCCGCAACACCAACTACATTTTCAGGTAGTACAGCACCATCACGAGCTCCCGGTGCTGTAGCGCCAACAACAACTCCAGATAGTAAAGCGCCATCACGAGCCCCTGTTGCCGAAGCGCCAATGCCATTTGCAGGTAGTAAAGCGCCATTGCAAGCTCCCCGAGCCGCAGCACCAACTACATTTTCAGGTAGTACAACGCCATCGGGAGCTCCCGGTGCTGTAGCGCCAACGACAACTCCAGATAGTAAAGCGCCATCACGAGCTCCCGGTGCAGCAGCGCTAATGCCATTTCCAGGTAGTAAAGCGCCATCGCAAGCTCCCCGTGCCGCAACACCAACTACATTTTCAGGTAGTACAGCGCCATCACGAGCTCCCGGTGCAGCAGCGCTAATGCCATTTCCAGGTAGTAAAGCGCCATCGCAAGCTCCCCGTGCCGCAACACCAACTACATTTTCAGGTAGTACAGCGCCATCACGAGCTCCCGGTGCTGTAGCGCCAACGACAACTCCAGATAGTAAAACGCCATCGCAAGCCCCCGGTGCTGAAGCGCCAATGTCATTTGCAGGTACTAAAGCGCCATCACAAGCTCCCCGAGCCGCAGCACCAACTACATTTTCAGGTAGTACAGCGCCATCGCAAGCTCCCGGTGCTGTAGCGCCAACGACAACTCCAGGTAGTAAAGCGCCATCGCGAGCCCCCGGTGCTGCAGCACCAACGACATTTGCAGGTAGTAAAGTGCCATTGCAAGCCCCTGGTGCCGCAGCACCAACTCCATTTCCAGGTAGTAAAGCGCCATCGAGAGCTCTAGGTGCTGCAGCACCAACGCCATTTTCAGGTAATAGAGCGCCATCGCGAGCTCCCGGTGCTTCAGCGCCAACGCCATTTCCTGGTAGTAGAGCGCCATCGCGAGCTCCCGGTACTGGAGCGCCAACGCCATTTCCTGGTAGTAGAGCACCATCGCGAGCTCCCCGTACTGGAGCGCCAACGCCATTTCCAGGTAGTAGAGCGCCATCGCGAGCTCCCGGTACTGGAGCGCCAACGCCATTTCCAGGTAGTAGAGCGTCATCGCAAGCTCCCGGTACTGGAGCGCCTACGCCATTTCCAGGTAGTAGAGCGCCATCGCGAGCTCCCGGTACTGGAGCGCCTACGCCATTTCCAGGTAGTAGAGCGCCATCACGAGCTCCCGGTACAGGAGCGCCAGTGCCTGCTCCAACTATGGTTCAGACGCCTGCTCCAGGTACGGTTACAGAACCCCACTTTCTTTTCAAACTGTGGATATAATTGTAAAATCCCAAAAACAAAAGTACAATAAAAAATATTGCCAAATATAGGGACCATCTTTGTAATTATGTTTTTTCTTATGGTTGCAGTTAATCCACCCGCACCAGAAGTGCCGCCAAGAAGTGCTCCGAAAGGGCCACCAGCACCGTTGGAACCATCGGATGAGGACTCACCGGTGCCGGCACCGTCAGATGCCCCATCTTTCACCATTTTCTGTAACCTAATCACGCCGCTTCTTCTCACCCTTCTTGCTTTATTCCGACCATTGTGATGCCATGGCGTCTCCAATTTTCTAATCAATCTATTTTTATTTCCACAATTTTGAAGATAGAAAAAGAAAAACATGCATTAATGCATTTCTTTAATTTTTCTTTAATTTTTGAGAATTATAGTTGGATATTTTAATAATGTTTTGTATATGAAAAGTTTATAATTAATATTCATAATTATTATCCACTACATCCTCCAAATTGGACTTTGTAGCCCATATTCATTTTTATCTTTATCTTTGTAGTTTTATGGACGTTAGACAAGATTTGTTTTTACTCACCGAACACAGCTGGTATGAATCAAAATCAAAGCTTGTTCAACCACACACGACTGCACATACATTTTCAATCATCTGCAATTTAAACTGGCCACATTACTCAATTTGACCTTGCCTCTACTTGGGGACAAGATCTCTCGTGTACAATGTTGCATCTCAAATCTCATCTTGGTTCCCAATTGACACGACCTTCATATCATGATGTCATCTCAAGTCTTGAGATGCCATCGACCATCATAATTTGCTTGGTCTTGCCTATCGAGAACGAGTTCATGTGCTGTTCATAATATTGGGACATTCTGAACATTCATCCATCTAGGTTCTATTAAGGTATTGGACCCTCTTGATCCATGTCATACCATTTACAGACTCTGTATCAAATAGCATGTATATGATCCAACCTCCGACACATGGGCTCAGGTGCAATGACGGCACACCTGTGTCATCCGACATTATCCTTGAAAGACTCATTTCAAAGAAAGTTGCTCGAGATACTCATCTCGCAGTGAATGATTGCCCTCACTGTGACACACGCATGTGCCACATGGTAGCTTGCTTAGGCCATAAGATCCAAGGGTGATGGATAGTTTATACCATGTCTCCTCCTATGGTACATTTTGAAGTATTTCCAATCTGGCAGGTGTATCCATTATTTTGGCAAAAGTGTCGTCGAGTCTATGTTTGGTGTCCGATCGACACCAAATTTCGTGAGCATTCATATTTTGTATGTTCAAACTTGACTCCAAAACCACATGCACAAATTCCCTTTTGAGGTTAAGACCTAGACCTATCCAACCCTTCAACAAACTTATCTTTAACACTCATGTTTACATCGTTGCATCTATCTTACCTATGTCTTAGCTTAACTTTCATGCATACATTATATGGTGTGTTGGATGATACACCCTTCTCTTTTTGTTTTTGCCAACTTATCACCTAAACATTGAATTTCTATATACACACTATCTCTCACGCATCAGCATGATCAAAATGTGGAAGACATGTCTCGTGCGCCCATGGTTTTTCACTTATTTAACAATTTGGGTATCAATTCTTGCAGAGGAATTACAGGAATGCGATGAGATTTTTTAGATTTTTTTATGCGTTAATTTCATTTGCGTTATCCTCTGCTCAATTTTAATGCAAGAGGAGAAACTATTAGATTTGTGTTGGATCATTCCATACCTGTTAGAAACCACGACTTTCTACAATGATATGATATTGTCTACTTTGAATATAAGCTCTCATGGAATCCCTAGTGTGGTTTCAAAAGAATTCTAAAGTCGGTTTCCGGACCACGATAGTGTCCAGTGTCCATGATATATACATCCTAGATGAGTATATATGTATAGTAAATTCGAAAGTACATAGTGTTCAATGTCCATATGTATCTAGAGGAGTATCGGGAAGATTAAATTCCCGAGACCAACTTCCAGGACTTCGATTGATCCTTGGAATGTTCTTAGAGAATCATCTGCACTAAGAATGTCTTTTCATTTGAACCCCCCACCTTGTGAATGTACTGAGTATTGTTGCATGAAGATGAAAGCTTTCTAATGTCAATCTCTATTGTGTTCAAGTTAAAATATTGGAAGGGCCCCTTGAGGTTCCCCTGTGTGAGGAAAACACAGAAGAAAAAACAATGGAAGAAACCCATTAATTTGGTGTGAAGTGTCGATATTCTCTACCATAACAACTATTAATGTTTGAGAAGGCATTGACTTGGGTGCACAACTATTAATATTTCGTTACTAATTTGCCTAGAACTGGCCATGTGAGAAAGCTTCTGTTCTAAGATTGTAAGACTAAGTAATGTCAAAAATTCACCTCGTGGGCCACTCACTAATCAGGACAAGACCTTACACTGAAAGAGATCCAAGAAAAACTTCAGTATCAGTTAGGCCCATGTATACTTTTCTTCACAAGCTGTCAAAGTTTGCATTTGTCTGACATTTCTTTAGGGGTTTTAAAGAACAAGCAAATAGAAGTCTAAGAATGTGATCAGATGTTTCAATTCAATACAAGGGTCGAAATTATATAAAGACAATCGAATAGGACATATGATTCAACAAGCTGTGGGAAACCAGGAACTCATATGGAGAATTCACTTTTACAAACAAAAAATCCTCTCATAAGAAACTGTCTGGCTATTATAAGAATGGGTTAGATTTGAAAATCTTTTTCTCTCACACTATCATACATCAAATAGTTTAAAAGTACAAGCTACATTGTAACGCCCTTTTCTAATAAAAGTTTCTCTATAATGGGACCTCATACTGGGCGAAAAAAACAACATTCCAAACTCCCTGCTAGTAAATATTGTCTTGTTTGAGCTTTAAGTTTTTCCCTTCCAAACTTCCCCTCAAAGTTTTAAAATGCATCTACTATGAAGAGGGTTAGTCCGACCTGGCTATGATACCAAGGTTTGCGTTATTACAAATGATATCAGAATCAAACACCAAGTGGTGTGCCAACGAGGACGCTGAGCCTCGAAGGGGGTGGACACGGAGCGGTGTGCCAGCGAGAACGCTAGGCCCCGAATGAGGTGGATTGTGAGATCTCACATTGGTTGCAAAAGCAAACAAAACATTCTTTATAAGAGTGTGGAAACATCTCCCTATCAATTTTAAAAACTTTGAGGAGAAGTCCAAAAGAGAGCTCAAATAGGACACTATCTACTAGAATGAGCTTGAACAGTTACAGTTATCCTCTAGCCATGCATGTCAATTCCCAAAAACATGGCCACCATGGTTGGGTTTATAGCTCAATAATGGATGGTAAAAAGAGACTACATGTCTTATTTTCCCAGCTCCTCCTGCAAACCATCCATAGTGGAGGAGTTCAATAGCTCAACAAATCGCACTTGGGGCACTTTTGCTCAGTCAGGAAACCATGAAGAAAAAAGTACAGGAAAGTAGGAAAAGGTTCATAAGTTCTCCATTACTTTATTGAAAAGAAATGCAAAAAGAGAATAGAACTAAAAAAAGTAAAAGAAATATCCCATTAGCGTTCAAGTCCATAACCAGTTTCCCCCCTTTTCCACACTCGATGGCTTCTAGGGTTTCTTTTCGAAGGAAGGATCCTCCTATTCCTAAATTAATTTATAACCAGTACACAAACAACTGTAAGATTTGAGAAGATAGCTCAAATTCCGTCCACATTCAATGCAACGAACAAATCCAGACACTTCCTCTTTAAAAAAGAAATCAAATATCGAAAAATTCCGCTACTCTAATCTATTGCAATCTTTCTGCTAACAAAAGGAAATCGAAAAGGTGTTTCGATGTGTCGAAATCTTACCGCATTCATTTCTCTGCAACATTCCCGATTCGTCGCTCCCCATCAAAAGCGATGCCACAAACTTAGGGCTCTGTTTGATTATTGGCGAAAACTCATGCAATTACCAAACAAATTGAGTCAAATCGGAGTTCATCTTTAACCAAAAGTCAAACAAATTCATCCATGGTTAAACTGGACCGGGAATTGAAGCCTTTTGGCACTAAATAGAGTAATGTGGCCGCCGACGCTTTGACGATGAACTTGGATGTTTTAGCGGCCAGATGCCAATTGAGTGGCTTCTATAATTATTCCATATTCTAAATAAAAGTTGAATTTACAACTAATTTGAACCGTTGGATGGTTGTAGATCACCAGGTGTCGGCATCGTAGTGGTAAACATTAATGAAGGTTTTAAATTTTTGCTTTAGATTAATAAAAGTACTCTGTAAATGTAAATTGTCTAAAAAGAAATAAAAAAAAAAGCGTTTCAACTTTCAATAATATTTTTAAAATATCTTAAAAATTTATTACTTTCATTAATACTCTAATTAAAAAAAAAATTAAAAAATGTCTTTATTGTTAATTTGTTTAAAAAATACCAATAAAACTTTAAAAATAGCATTAATATTCTTAATATTTATAAAAAAAAAAAAAAAAAGAGGCTGAATTCTAGTCCCTCTCCAATTTCTTATTAATTTAATAATGTTCATATGATCTGATAATCCGACTATCTTATACTATTCAATCCAAATTATAAAAGTTAAGTTGAGTTAAAAAAAATTAATATAAGTTTAGTTAAATTTTTAAAAATAAAAAATTAGCTTCAGTTGGTGGGTTAAGATTTTTGGGTCATGTAAGCCTGATCAACCTAAAAATAGGGCTATAATCCAATCGAACTCTTTTTTTAAAAATTAAAAATATTTAATGTTAATAATTGATGTTGGTTGAGCTCATGTTAATAAAGATATCTAGACAACATATAAAAGAAGAGAAATTAAGAACGCTACAAAAATTTAAGAATAAGATTGAAAAACGACAAAAGAAGGAATAAAAAAACAAGCATAATACTAATTTGATGTGCTCAATGTCACATCAACCTGTTCTTGATGTAAAAACTCGTATCGACAATTTGGTCAACACATCCTTTTGGGCTAACTTTGGCCGATGCTTTATGAGGTCTAGTCAACCTCTATAGGAATGTCCGATCCAAATAGTTGGCTTTGACGTCTCCTAAGAATAGATCGACAAACCATCGAGATTTATCCTGATTTGGTCAACAATACACTTGAAGTATCAATGTTACTTTTAGTTTTGTCAAGAGTTTTATAACAGTTCAAGCTTTTTCGGGTTTCCTCTCAAGGTTTCTTAAATGCGTCTGTTAGGG